ATGCTTAGATGCACATCATTACACATATTTTTCTTTTAGTCGTGCAAATTGCAAACCCAGTAATAAATTTGTTTTGTGTGATATAGAATCAGATACATTCAATTTTATTTTGCATATTTTTGCATAATTAGAGATTTTTATGAATAAATGCATATTTTGCCAAAAAATAATTTAAATATTAAAAACATCGATATATCGTAAACTCATATCAATCTATTATAAACAATTATCAGTATCTTATCGCAGATTAATTCATAGTAAGTTCATTGTACTTGTGATATTTATTAGATTATACACGAAAAATTAAAGTAGGTATCGTAGTAACGTATAAAACGTTAAATACGCGTATAATAACCTTGGCTTATATTATTAACTTATTATTATTACTTACTTATCTTTACTATAATTCAACGTTTTTAATCAAGATTACGGCCCATAACCGCGATAGAGTGATGATCCTATAGGACATAATGGCTTACATTATAAAATCTTTAGTTTAGTGTATGTTGCACCATGGGTATTGTGTATACTGCAGTGTTTTGAATTATTTTAGTAGCGTTTTATTCTCACTAAAAATTCTAAAAGTTAAATGTTCCAGTACTACTCTTGAGTACAAAAATTTCTTTTAATGATTTACTAAAATTTTAAAAACTAATATTTTTGTATATTTGTATTTAAATTTAAAGTTATAAATAAAATTGGATATTAGTTTAGAATAAATTTTTGACTAGTAATAAAATTTTAAAATTACATATTTAATTTTTTAAGGGTATAATTGCATGCATTTTTTAGTGTTTTTAAAGTCATAAACATCCTAACTCTATAGTTATATAAGTTACAATTTACAACTTATAACTGCATTAATCTAAATAAATTTTTCTATTTATTGCCAAACGAATTTTACAACAAGTTCCTATCACTACAGACTGATATCCAAGATTTTATTTAGTACTTTAATAAGTAGTAGGTACATACTTATAACTTAGACTTTATTAATACTTGATAGGTTAACTGATGCAGTGAGTTATTAATAATTATGCCAATTTATTGCTAATATGAAATAATCAAATGTTTCAATATTTCTTTAGTCATGATTTTTTTAAATCTTAATTTACAGAATTAAATGATTTGGGATGTTTATATGTAATTGTAATAAATTTATCAGTAATCTTACGTGGAATACGAAATTGTGGTTATTATAATAGCAATCTATCATTGTACTCAAATTTCAAAAAAAAATTTCTATTTTCAAGTAAAGTTTATGAAAATTATTTTATCGGTAGTATATAAAGAATATTTTTTGTTATTCATATGTTAATTTTAATTTTTTTAAAACCTTAATATAATAAATTAAGACAATTTTATAATACTGATAAATTGATAACTGATAATAAATATACCAATATGCTTGGTTAATTAAATTAACAGAATTTGATATATAGGTAGGTACTCAGATGACACTATGGTAGATACTTTTTAAAAATGTAGGTTAGATATTCGTCACTAACTATGGCAACACTCATTTATCAACGCATTGGTTACCAACTATAATTACTATTTGAATGACTGCTGCAGAATGCCTGTAGCTTTGTAATGGATTCGCGCTCTTGCTCAATATGTACACAATTTACAAATCAGTGGTTGCAGGTCATCAAAAGAAACGCGTCACTTTGATAATACTTAAATGATACGCTTGTAAAACGAAAATAACACAGTGATCATTACGTCCACTCAACTTGAATAAACTATACGAGAAGAGTGCCTACTATGTACTATCTATAAATTAAAATAAAAATAATTTAGCAAACATGTATCAATATAACAATATATTATACATTATAAAGTATAAAAAACGGCGCAGCTTATTTTTTTTTTTAATTTGATATGAAAAAAAAGGTCATTTAATAGGTTTAATTGTGACTTGTAGGGAGTGATAAATGCCTCATTTTTAATACATATGCATTGTCCACTGAACACAAATAATTTATTTGGTATTAATCATTTGCAAATTTTGAAATGTACCATTATCACGGTATTTTTTCATATAGCATGCGCTAACATTGTAATACCGCGTATCACAATTTATTTATTTAACGAGGAACGGCGATGAGCCACTTTTAGAAAGTTGAATGAAGTAGAATTACCTATTGAAAATAAGTTTATCAAACCACTTTGTTATAACAATAATGAATACATTTTGAGTAGAGCAAGGCTATGAAGGACTATGCTACTTTGCCATAAATGCTACTGCAGTTATGGGTAAATAGAATTTTATATAACCAACTGGTTTGATATAACATTGTATTTAATTGGTATTTATTTTCTACAGTTATAAGTTATAACATGTTTTAAGCCTTTAAGGTAATGAAAAGGTGTTAAATTTAGTTTTATACCATCGTATACAAGTAATGAATTAGAAATTAAACTTAACTTGACAAAGATCACGCGTACGAGAAATTTTTACTTATAAAAATAAAAAATACATTTTATTTTCTATTCTTTATGATCCCTTTGGAATCTTTTTGATTTTATTGAATGAAATCGTTACTATTTAAAAACATTTATATAAATTAAAAAATTATTACCTATTACGATATTGGTTTAAAATAAAAAAATATAGAGTCGAGTTTTTACTACATTTTGTGTCCATGCATGACGGCTGTCGAGTAGTTATTAATCTTTAATCTGTATCTTAAAGTATCTTTACTATTCTTTGCTTTAGTTAATTTTTTATAACTTTATTTCCTTAAAAACCATAGACTTAATGGCTATTTTGTACTCTAAAATAAAAATACGGAATACATGAAAATATAGTCTATTATAAGTTTCATGTATTAAACGGTCACAGCTGTACTTTTACTTTTTTGAAAAATATATTTATATATGCATTATTTTAGAACATGGTTCAATATAAATTGTATGGCTCGTAAAACAACACACTCATACATGTGCATGATGAATCATGTATGTATAAGTGTATTTTTCATAAACATTTTTTTATTATCCCTATCAATAATGTCCATTAACAGACTAACATCCGACGGTTTGTGATTTATAAGTTATTACTTATTATTTAGTAATCAGTACTCTCTTACTGGGTTTAATTAATAAGTTTGATATTCGGTTCTTTGCAGAGTATTTTCATCTACTTTCAATTTTCATATTTTTATTTGTTGAAAAACATAATTTTGAAATAAAAATGAAAATATTCAAGTATCTGTATCAATAATAAAAATTGATAAGTAATTATAAATTATATTTAAAAAAAAATATTTAGGCTTAAGTGAGTTACTTATGTGTTGTAATAGAGAAAAATATTTATTATAATTTAGACACCTTCCTTTTCTTGTCTACCAACTTAGAATACGAAAAAATAGTTTTCAAATAATTAATTTAATAACATAATATTTATTTTAAAGTTTGAATGTTATAGTAATATACATATTACATATACTTATTATAAAATATTATTAAATAATGTATTTCAAATTTCAATGATAGGTTGTTAAAATCTTTTTTCTTTTTCATACTATAATAGTTTATAGTATTCTTAGAATATTGAATAGACTATAATATAGTTGTGGATCGTACGACTGAGCAATCAGCATATGGCGTAATGGGCCATTTCAATAAACTTCCAAATACAGTAGGTAAAAAAAATAAATCTGAGACGTGACTTGGCGTTCATATTTTTGTTTTATTTTTCAGTAGCCGTCGTAATAAAATATTATTGAACAAATTAACAACTGACCCGACATTTATTGACTTATTTTAGAAGGCAAAAAACAAAAAGATTGATTTAATGCAGTGTTTATTAACAAGTAAACCACAAAGTTTATTAGATGACAAATAACTTATATAAGATACAAACATTTTTGACGTATCTAGTTTACAAAAACTTATAGATATTTCTTATTTGATATAACTTTTATGATGAATAAAAATAAGTTGTTTTTTATTGAAATATTTTACATATTTTATTTTAACAATTAAAATTAAATATTATCTATTATTTTTTTTTTTTTAATCGTGTGTCGCATAGTATGAAATATTTTAAGGTGTGTCACCGTAATATTTAAGTTGAAAAATACTAATTTAATGTAGCCAATGTAGGTATAAAAAACAAAATTATTCTGTGACATGGCAGATAAACATTAAATATATTTTGTGCATGCACGAGTATACTATATTTTCTTTTGTTAATAAACTTTTTTGTCTAATTAGTTTTTGTATTATTAATTGGAAGATTAGTTATGTTTCAAATATATTTTATTTTTTATTACATGGGTACTTTTGACAATATGGATAAAATAAAATAAAAGAGGGTTCAGGGGCCGTAATACTATTTTGTCAATATTTGTCCGACTTAAAGGCTCAAGCCTTGTCACTGATAATAATACTAAATTAAATAATATTTTGACTCAATTATCATAAGTTTAATGTAACTATATATTGTGCTAAATATATAATTATAGCACAGAATAATATTAATATTTTATTCTGTGACACTCGTATTCGTTGTATACCAAATACCAATAATTGAAAAGGAAAAACAAAAAAAAATATTTATGAAATATACAATGTATGAGTCGTGGTCAAAATAATGTAATTTTCTAAAAACGCAAAGAATTTGAATACCATATACTACGCGGTTTAAATAGCAACCTTTGCGACTGCAGCGCAGCCTGTGACTATTTAATTGTGCAACTCATTTCGAACTATTATCAGAAAGGGAGTTTCGTCTACTTGTCTACTTCTTAGATCTAAAGTCTACTTTACTTTATTCTTGTTTCCATTATCAAAAGTATTATCAGTTATCACAAAACGATATCAGTAGTTCAGTACTCGTAATAATAAATGTAAATATGTACTATTGCATATTATAAAATCTTACAAAAACAAGTTATTAGAAGTTACATTTAAGTTGAAAAATTTTAAACAGTAAACTTTTAAGATTAATATCAATGAATTACAACTATAAGTTATAACATTTTATAACTTACTAACATAACCTGCATATTAAATATTGTTTTAGCATTAATTATATTGAGTTTGGTGTTTTATTGAAATTAAAATGGGTTTAGACAATGAAAACCCAACTTTATTTGAAAAAAGCGAAGAGAGAAAAGTTAGTGAAAAAGATTTGGATGACAATGAAGCTGAAGAGTTTGATTCAAGGGAAATCTTTGGTAAATTAGTTTTATTAATTATGAATAATACACTGTTGCTAATACGATTGAACTATTGTAATTTTTTTCTTAAAAATATTAGATTTGATTAGAGGAATTACAGATCCAGAACATCCACTGTCTCTTGAAGAATTAAGAGTTGTTGATCAAAGTTTAATTGAGGTAACTGTTTCCTAAACTATATAAAATAATAATCCAATATTATGTATATATTTATAAGTTTAATTATTCAGTAACTTTTTTTGTTTTTAATCATTTTAAAATTGTAATTGACTCATTAAATTCTTTAAGTTTGCATGTTCTATACGTTCTATATGTCTTTACTGAGCTGTATGATATTTACAATCATTAAATAATAATTCTAAATTAGTTAAAACCAATATTATTCTTTAACTATAATCTTTTATTTTTAAGTATTACTATAAAATATTATTCAAATTCATCATTATTATTTATGAAACATAAAAACAATCATTTTTATGTGTGTATAATTGTCTATTTTCAAACATTTATATTTAAAGACTTCTTAAGACTTGATTGTTATTAGTGTTACAGACTCATTTGATTGCTAACTTTGAGAAATAATAATTATTAATAAAAAATGATTTCAATAATAATCTTTTATTTATAACCTAAAATTTATTGATATTAGTATTTGTTAGTTTAAATCTGCTTTTTGAAAATGCATTTTTGACAATTTCAAAGAATTCTTGTGCATTATGATAAATGTATAAAATATGACAGTTCTTTATTCTAAAATTTTAACATTAATTGTTTATTGATAAATCACACCATCAACTTTATTTATGACCCATAATAGTTGAGACAGTTGAGTATAGTTTTATATTCAATATATAAGTTATAAAATTGATTAATCTAAAAGTTTTATCCAAGTTATGTACTTCATAATTTATAAAATTATAAACCCATTTGATGACAGCATGGTTCTTAAGTTAGAGACCATATTTTTGTTGACAGACATTGTGAATACTGAATGTATATTATTTTCTAAATACTTGTTATCTGTGTATGTATTTAAATGTTCTTAAACAAAAAATGTATAAACAATAGTTTCATAAATTGAGCAATATTGATGAATGACATCCAAGTTGGGAGTGTCTTTGCACTAAAACATTATGTTTCTCTGTAATGTGTTACATAGAAATTTTTTTTTTTTGTTGTTAAGTTTAATATTTATGTATACAACAGAACTATACCGGAAGTTAAAAGTTTTATTATATTATTAATAATTTTATGTTTAACATGTAATTCTAAAATATATTTTTATGTTTAGGTTGAAGATAGTATCAATACAGTAAAAGTATTATTTACACCAACTATCCCTCATTGCAGTATGGCTACATTAATTGGATTATCCATTAAAGTTCGACTTTTATGGTGTCTACCACCGCGGTTTAAAATATCTGTTTCCATAACACCGGGTACTCATGCATCTGAACACGCCATCAATAAGCAATTAGATGATAAAGAAAGAGTAGCTGCAGCTTTAGAAAATACACATCTATCAACAGTCTTAAATAAATGTATAGCTACTGCATAGATAATCTCTATTTTAGTCTTACAATTTTTCTTTGATCTAAATGATAAAATATGTATATGTATATAAATTTAGTTATTAGTCATTAATAAATCATATTTATTAATAGTATATTATACATAAAAACAAACGTTAACCATACTAATACAATAATATTCATTAATCATCTTTTTTGATGCCTTCTTTAACCATTTTAAAATTATATCCGAAGTTTTAATCTTCTATCAAAATAGCTTGCAAATTTTCAAGAATTTTATGAACTTTGTCATAGTTAAAATGTATAGGCTCTAAAAAAATATTTATAGAATTACGCCCATTTTTTAATTCTAATAACAAGTTATAAGGAATCTTATATTTAATATTCAAGTGTTATGACTGCAAAAACTTTTTTATTAACAATACTCAAAAAAAATTTTTTATACTTATAAATAGCTTAAAAAGAATCAAAATATTTTAAAATGTTAACATGCGAAGGAATTTCTAAGATAAACATTTATTGAATTTAACATGAAGTATATATGGTTTTAGTGTTACACAAAAAACAAACAAAATTAATTTTGTTGAAAACTTATTATGTAAGAATTCCTGTTTTTCACAATGTTTTTTAAAACCATTAGAAATTATTTGCTTTTGACCCTTTTTTTCATCCAAAAAATACCAGTTTGATTCATTTTTCTAACAGAAAAGTTTCTGAAGTTGAAAATTGAATCTTTTTTTCTGTTCCAAAAGGTGATAAACTGATAGCATAATAAAATATACATTGTAAAGAGTTAATAATTTAAAGAAAGTAAATTAAGCAAAAACGAAAATTTTCATGCAAAACCAATATTTTGGACGAAATAGATTTTTTTATATGATTTTAATTCAAAATAAAATAACTGTATACCTAAGCTTGTACTTTTCACTAAGTGCTCTTGTTATCAGTTTCTATTTATGTTTTAATTTTCAAAATATTTTGACTTTTTTAAAGCTACTTATAAATACTGGACATTTTTAACAATTTTACTTGTTTTTTTTTTGAATTAACACTAAAAAATAATTCATTGAGTCAAAATTCTTGAGTATATTATACAAGGTCTATACGAGATATTCTTATATCTGTATTTGTATATTAAAAATACGTACTACATAGATACATTGTTTTTTACAAGCCGAGAGTATTTTTTAGTAATTAATTTAAAATCTCTTCAATTTTTTTTAAAATTATTACTTCTTAAATAAGATAATCGTGGAGGTTATCGACATATAAATGACAAATATCAAGCAGAGCACTAGTGGTTATTGGTTACCTAACGATGACGAGGACGCGAGTTCAGTCAATACTCAATACTTCAACCACACAGAGTAAGAACATACCACATTTTGACATTACGCATTATACTATGAGAACCTATGCAATGACAACTGTTGGTATGCCTGCTGACGGTCGGCGACGATGTTGTAATAGCTTGCCCAGCTGCTGCCGCTAACATTATTGCGGTCTCTGACCACTGATAATGCCGATTGATATTTTGATAATGTTCTCGTCTTTTTGACTACATTTTTACTTTTTAGTCGTATCGCATTTCTTAGTACTTACTATGTACATAAACGAAGAATGAATAATATAGTATTGCGTTATTCATTATTAATATTATAATATTTTGTTTTTATGTTTTTTCACGCGCACACTGTACACGAAAATAACGACATACCTATTTATATGGTACCCAAACATTACAGTCTTCGTGTTGCATAAAATGAGGTAGACACCCGACGTACCCAATGCGTTTTACACAATTAAATTGCTGCCGCCGTGCACCGCAATTTGGTGCATGTTCGAAAATAACGCAAGCGATGTGTACTCTAATTTATATTACTCTAATTTTTTGATCAATACAGCAGTCGACAAAAACGCCTATCTGCGTCGTAAAGTTCTCAGTGGTACAAAAGACGGTGTTACCTGATCCGCCACCGCCGAACATACAGCAAATCAAATTGCCAAAATTATCCGTCATCCTACATCGGTTGGTTGCAATCTCAAAAAGAAATATCAGGTTGGCATATTCTGACTCCCATTTTTGTTCAATTTTGTTATTGTGTTTTGGCTAAGTTTTGTAGTAAAAATATCAGGGCACTTACAATTCAATTTAGTAAACTGGTTATAGTTATGAAATCAAAATTAAAAATGCTGTATTAATAATTTATATTGAAATATATTTTTTTTAAATTAAAATCTAAAAGTTAACAAAAAATATACTATATGTACAATAAGTAAATTATATAGGAGAAACCAGGAAATATAAGTAGAGAAGTCGCCCTGTAGCAGCACTTCGGGGATCATATGATAAAAAAATATTTTCCACATTTAGGAATAGCAAAACATGTTCTAATCTACATAGATTATTAATTCTATATAAGATAATTCATCAAGCACGCTTCTTATTTGCTTTTATCTTTGAATAGTGTACCTATTTATTCAAATTTTGATTACTTAATTTTTAGTTCACCTAGACTAGTATTTCGACTATCTTTACAGATTTTTATTTTGATCTTTATAACCATGTAAGGAAAAGTATCTTATTGTAATAAATACTTGTTTTAATTTAATGATTATCATCATATTTAATTCATATTTAATTGTAAATTGTTTAGCAGATAATGTTTTTGAACATTTTGTTACATATATAAATCAAATTTTAAATTACCAATATCTAATTTATTAAAATTTTCATATCATAGATGGTTTCTTAATAATGATTTTACATAAATTATAAAATATTGTAATATTTAAAAAATATATTTATTATACTCGGACAAATTTTACTATAATAAAGTAGTTTTTATTAAAAATTCTCAAAAAAATTCTCATATTTCTTTTATGTACTTCCTCTATAAAAAAAAAAGATGTAGAATACAATTTTTAAAAATATTACAGTTTTTCTTTTTATCTTATTATCTATAGTCATGTCCTTAATCAATATTTATCATTTAATAGTAAATAATGAATATTGTTTTATTATAATATTGTGAATACTGTATTTATAAAATCTTTTCCTTTTGTACTTGAAAAAGATTAATCCTAAAATTATAGACCTATTATTTTTTTAAATATTAATTGTAATAAATTAAAATTTGATTGGATTTTTGTTTTAAATATAGGCTTACTTAAGGTAAAAAATTAGGAAGTGCTAAAATAATGCAAGTTTTGTTGGATTCCTGAATAATATATAATGCTCATTCAATAAAAAAAATTGTTAAATAATTATTGTATTATGAATCAATCACTAATATTAATTATTAAGTGTAATAAATTATATCTTATACAAGATGTTTTAAATTTGATTACACAATTTATTTTTAAATCAAGTTAACATAAACATAAAAAACAATTTTCTAGTGTTTAATTTAACCCTAGAAGTTAAGCATACAATGTTGTCTATGATTTTAACTAACTAATGAATAATATGTTAAAAAATGTATGTCAATAAAAAGTTATTAATTTTCAGAATGGAGACTGACTGTAAATCAATTTCAAATCAAAAAAATGTGTCTACATCTAATCCAAATTATAATTGGAAGGATGTTACTTCAGAATTTTTCGATTCAATTAAAGGTATTATAATTATTATTGTCTTGCAGAATAAATATATCAATATTTTTGTAGGTTTTTTTTATGTTATGTCATTATTTTATAAGATATTTTATAGACATATTTAACTGAGTTAATATTTAAATTATTTATAATATTATAACTAATATGATTTCCATTAATCAATATTCTTTATATTTCTTAAATTAATTCATAAATTATATTATATTATTTATGAAATTGAATAATAGGAGATAAAATAGAAAAATTTTATTGTCAGTCATTAAATCTAGCTCCTTTCATTTTTTTATGTCTACAATAACTTTTGATTAAGATAACAGTTTTTATCAATATCTTAAGCTTTTTACCTATTATTTATGATTTATTGTAGTTAATATATATTGGGAAGTGTATTATTTTTGATGTTAAACTGGTAGATAAGTTTCTATAATTATAAATAAAACTAATTAATGTTTAATGGTAGGTAGCCATAATAATATAAAATAACATATTAGATACAGAAAAAAATAATCAATTATGAAAATTAACTATTGAATAAAATATATTCATTAAATATAGAAAGTCTGTTTTATGTTTAATTTTAATAACTGTATTCTAAAATATAATACACTTATTTTTATTTGAGATATTTGTAAGAACTACTCGGTCAACATTTTAACTATTAAATAAATATTAACTTTATTAAATCTATTGTACAAATAGTTCATATTAAAATTCATGAGAATGAGATATAATTAAATATTTATTGTTTTCTTACTTATATTTATTTTTAATATTTAAATATAAACTTTGTTTATTTCAGAGTTAGAATTAGGTGAACTTTTACATGGCTACTTTTTTGGTTTGTTTGATGCAATGTCAGCTATTGAAATAATGGATCCAAAAATGGATGCAGGGATGATGTGTAATCGTGAATCAAAAGCAATAAAAGTAAATTAATGTTTTATTATATAAATATGTTCATTAGTTAAATTATAAATCCGCGAAGAAATGACAAAATAGTTCAGTGTTAAAAACTTATTTTACCTATTAAATACAGTAAAACATGTTTGAAATGCTTCTACACTCGTTGACAGTATTGATGAAAAATTTTGTGCTTAATATTTTTTTTTTCAATTAGTTTTTTGGAAATAGTCTTAAACAGTTTGTATGTTTATTAAGTATATTTTAGTTGTATTAATAATATTAAAAAAAATTATAATTTGATGTATTCATGTTTATTATGAAATGTTATTACAGTTAGAGGATTTGAAATTAAAAGATCTTTCTGTGTCTGAACAAATATCAATAATAGATGTCACATTAGCTTGTCTTGTATCATGGCTTGAAGGGCATTCTTTAGCACAAACTGTTTTCACAAATCTATATTTCCAAAAGCCATATGAAATTGAAGTTGTTCCATTGAAAGCTTTTTGTATATGTATTTATAAAATTATTGAAGAAATTAGGGACTTTGCTAACAGGTTAGTAATTTTTATATCTTAAATTAATAAATAA